CTTTTATAACTATAAATAAAAACCTGTCATTGGCCTTACTATACATAATACTCAACGTTTAAGTGTTTTATATATGTACGCTGTTGGTTTTATTTTAAATAAATAAATAAATAAATAGATACCCGACCATTAAGTTTTCTCGACTTTCACCCTTATTTCCAAGGAATTTCTTTTAGCAACAAACGATTTTTTTAATAGTCATATTTTAGAATAAGAAATGCGATTTGTAATTACTTATTCACACTGGGCGCTATCGAATTAAGGGTTAAACGAGTTTCAGATCTGTTTATTGTATGACCGCTGGGGATATAAAGAAAACAACGGTAGAAAATTTAGAAACAAATCAACTTTATTTATCAAGATGAAAAAGATCAAATGATATATATAAGCTTAGGGAACCGATACACGGGCCGCGCTGACGTCACATGGCGCGGCCCGAAGTCGCGGCGCGGCGATCACAACGTGGCGTCGACGTTACAGCGGCGCAACGCTTACGTTACAGCAGCGCAACGCGCGCGTTACAGTGGCGCAACGCTGATTTCACCGCGGCTCAACGCGCGCGTTACAGCGGCGCGGCGCCGACGTCACTCGCGCCGCGGACACAACTCGCTTATCATATACACTGCCGACGAAACCTTCACTATACATATTCTATACAACGTATTATACATATTAATCAAAACATAAAATCTCCAAATAATAAACAACCGTAACGTAGTCTGTAACGATACACCGAGAATTTTCCGTCCGAGCTAACTGTCCTTTTACTTTATGTTTTTTCTCAATTAATTAAATGGTAAAGATCTCACTATGATATATTTATTTACAAGGCCCCGGGGCCGCAGTCTGTGCCACTGCCCACTGGCGGCGCACTAGTCTCCCGGGTGCTCCGGGCACGACCGGTTCACCTCGAACCACTGGTCTATGCATCTGCAAACAAACAACCACACGTTATTCACTTAGAATTCGATATTTTAAAAAAATACTAAAACAATAAACATTTCGTCTAAAAGTTATGGTCACGATGAATTTTGACTCTATTATGTGTCAATGGTGTAGTTTGTTGTGTAATGTGTAGATTTGTATCGTCGATATCTATTCCATTGTGTACAGGTACACATGAGATGTCTTTGCTTAGATTTTGTGAGAGAATTCGACCCAGATCTGCGGCGGTTGTGAACCTGAAGGGTTGTCGACTGCTTTGTTACACCTGACTGGAGACACGTCGCTGGAGCGCTCGTGTCTCGACGAGGGCCTCTGTGTATCTCAAGTATGAAAAGTTGATCGAAAAATGAACGCAAAATTCGAGACTTTCGTAGAAAATATACGGAAAAAATAGTAAAGGTTTTTTGCTTTTTAAAACCAAGGAATTGGATTAAGTGAATACAATTTTTATTAGATGTGAGGTATCGGATATCTTATAGTCCATATTAGAATAAATGTGATCTAAAAGGGAATGTTTTTTTTTTGCTTATCCTCACCATACAATAAGATAATGGATCTTAGGATGGATGAAATGATTGCTCGTCTGACTCCTTCTTTATGATACATAAATTCGTATAAAGGTATACACATAGGTGGAGAGCTCACCCCTTGTGGTAGATGCAGAGGCAGGGCAGGCGCGCGATGGTGTCCCCCGCGCACAGCTCCTCCAGGCAGATCACGCACTCGCCCTTCGCGTCACTCAGCACGTCCTCTGGAACGCACAACGTTAACACATCAATACTAATCTTTACACTCTACCAGCTCTTAAAACCACGAAAGCTGTTGCACGAATCGCTTCTGGTAACCATCACCTTGAAAAACTGATTTTTATTAAATAACATTATAGTAATAACGTGAGTGGTAGTGGTCGCAAAGATACTAACCATTGTATGAGAGTCGCGGCCTGGTGAGGCACATGACGAGATGGCACTCGATGTCGTCCGGCAGCACGAACTTGCTGCACACAGGACATTTGATACCTGCAACATACAGACAGACATGTTACCATGTGTATCAACATACTACAGGTTACGCACCGACTACGAGCTATACTGACAGTAGCACAACTGGTTAACCCACTCCCTCCCTCGCGGAGATGTTAATAATACCAATAAAAAAACAAAAGATAGATATCAATTTTAATGCTCGAATATAAATCGCTGTTTATTACAATATGACGCTAAAATTTTTCAGTATTAAATCATTTTACGCAGACAATTATTTAAATGAAACGTTTAATAACTTTGTTTTGTTACAACGCATAAGTAATGTCCATTCGAGCGTCATGTGATGTTCGACGCTCGAGTGACAAGTGACAGCTTTTGTAAATGGACTCCTGTCACGTCGCAAGCCTCCTGTCATGCTGCGTGTCTGTTGCAATTTGCATGCGCTTCACAAAGCATCTCCACAGACATATCAGACGAGGATGTTTTAATGTGGTGCGGTAGAAAGCATTGCGAATACATTTAACTGTAAAACAGCAAGTACGATACCATTTGACTTGGCACATTAGGAACAAGAGCACTATTCTGCCCGATGTGCCATCCTAAAAGCCTGGTACTATAATTCCCGTTCTCACTACTTAATTTATTTCTAATTCATCGATTTTAAAAGATTAATGTTAGAATTTACCAATAGAAATGTTGTTTATTTCGCTTGCAGAATACACGCGAAAGGTATTCATTCTTACTTTCAGACAAGCCGCACTCAATAAAGTGCTACGAACCTTCATGTCCTTGTATATCATGTTGTATTGTGCTACCTGTGTGGATCTAAGGTCATGTACAATATAGTACTCAGAAAATTAATCATTAAAACGTTTAGTTACTATTAAGTCTCGAACGTTTGTATTCAATATCCATATATTTAAATTGGAAGAACAATACATATGTATGTACAATAAATATCAAATATTCTAAAATGATTTTCCAGAAAGCCGCGATTAATTTGTAATGCCATTTACGGCATACGGTCGTAAAACTGTGCCTATTCACTTTACATAACCAGCAGAGTGCGGCCGGCGCGCGGTGCGGTGCGGTGCGGTGTCGGCTCGGCTGCACACCACATCGGATATGCTCTAACTAATGACATCCACCCGGTAAGATAAAACAAAAACAAGATAAATTGAATACGCACATAGAATCTTATGTGTGTTCATAGTTACGTGAAGGTTTCGTAATATTGACATTGTAAAAGTGGTAGAGCCAGTATTAACATCTTCGCACGAATGGGTCGACTCGCCCGGTGGAATACCACGACCACACAAAAGACAGGTGTGATGTGGAAGCAATTCCGCGTTTCGCCTGATGAGTGTGGCGCCGGAGGCCCAGCTTTAGTCTCTGAACGTGGATTTAACGGTGCAGGAGACACATAGAAAGGGGAAATATCCTCTTTATCTATCCCACTATTGCGGATGTCTATGAGCAGCGGTCGCTTCGCCATTTTGGCGTATTCTGGTGGCCGCTTGCTCGTTTGCCACTTTATGATATAAAAAACACTATTCGTGTAGGGGAATGTTGTGGTTGCTGTGGTTGGCTGTAACGTGCGTGTGGCTGGTGGGGCGCGCGCGGGGCACGGTGAGCTGCCGCACGGCGTGCGCGCAGTGC